GTGTGTGTGTGAGAGAGTGTGGGTGAGTGTGAGTGAGTGTGAGATGACCAGAGAGAGATTTCAGAAATGATCTCAATCTGTGATCAGACTAGGAGTATTTTTAAAGGTCTTGAGGTATTTAATCCTACGTCCAAAGGCACATTTTGGTAAATTAGCACCATTAAAAGTATGCTGAATTAGCTATTAGGAGTTCCTGTTTGCAATTTATCCATGAATGTACACACAACTACCACTGGATTACTTTGATACGGAAGAAAACTTAAAAACGTGAAGATTCTTAAGCAAGTTCTGTCACAAGCTATAAGGAGTCTTTTTTTCAATGATTTCTAAGCAGATTTCTAGATTTGGTTGGACACTGTAGATACACTAATCTACAGTATCATTGGAAAGTGTAATTCACACCGAATCCAAAAATATGTGTATCATGTCTGTGTGTTAAGATTTGACTTGAGTTATGACTACAAGCAGTACGAGTGTTGACGTACCACCTCAGTATCTTCAGCCTCATATCTCTTATGTCTCTCTTTTGTAACATTATATTTGCTTTCCTCCAGTTTTCTCTCATCGGAAACCTTGAAACCACGCTGACGTAAGCATTCAGCTCGAATGCTTTTATAACTGGTGCCGATGTATCTGTAAGGTTTGGCTTATTAATGACCTCCTAAAATGAAATTACAGTAGAGATCTCATCAGGGAAACGAGCAGCAGATGCAGGGAAAAACAGAGAAGTAGGTTATAAGCACGAGAATAGAATATAAAATTAGCAATTAAAACAATTTCAGGGTGATATACACTGTTTATATGTACACACAAATATACAGCTGACAGTTGCAGTATATTTATGGTGGACTGTGGGGAAAGCGCATAAATATTAATGAGTATGTTTGATTATCTAAAGGAAACTTATACATACTCATAATGATAAGATCCTAACTACTTTTTATGATCTACTTAAAACATTATTTTTGCACAATTTGCACAAAAGTCTCATATAATGAGAGATCAGGGATGCAGAATCTGATTTCATTTTGCTTGTATTTCACTTGCAAGGTTACACCATTCTCAAAAAACACGGCATTTTGTGTCCACCCAATCAATACAGATGCTGAAATGAGGCGGTGAGACAAGAGAGCAGCAGTTGTCCTGTACTGGATTGCTTGAATGGGTGTAAACGGTATATTATATTTCCAGGAACAGAAGAAACTATGGGATTTTTCACCTCTAGTCTAATGGCTGCACAGGAAGTGTGTCTGCAGCGCATTGATTGGCCAAGCCAAATCAGAGCAGAATTACATGAGCCAATCAATGACTCTGATAGCTCAGGGCCAGCGGGGAATCTGAGATCGAACCTGCATCGCTTGTTTTCGCCCCCTCCTCCCCACTCCGTTTTTTTTTTTTGCATTTTCCCGGTGTCTTTATTCCACCGTTTTTACTCATCCCCCGTTTTTTCTCCGCTGTGAACGACCCTGAGATAACGGTTATGAATAGGCAGCGTTACCATGTGACGTTTAAGGGCATAGCGTACGTTTGGGGAAGGGGGAAGATGAGAGAAGGAACTAATTTGTGAAGAAAGATTAGACCATTCAGCGGCTCGGCGTGCCGCTGTCAGGAAGGCTGATGGGGATAATTGGTGGGAGGACGGGGACAAATGTTATTGTATGTTCCCATTGTCATTGATAATCGTTCTGTAGACGCTCTGATAAATTCTCTCTTGTTTTGTTTGATTCACTTTTTTGAGTCTCCATATTATTCGCAGTGGGGTAACTGGTGTTACTGGCAGCAGATTTAAAGCTACTAATAATATTTTGTTTGTTATCCCACCAGTTGGAAAGGTCAGTAGTTCACACAGCGATATAATGTATCAGTATCAAGTTAATTGTGACACCTCGGTATAATTAGCATTAACAAATGAGACGCTGGTTGAGGCATTTGTTATTCTCTGTCACAGCGGTGGTGTTCAGTGTCTCCCACAGGCGGAGGATTTATTTTGTGTTGCTCAACTCTGTGGGGCAAATTGGGCTTCTGCCAACAAATGGACATTCACGTTCTCGTTTGACTTTCACAAAGGAAATATTCCAAGATGTGTAAACCTTCTAGGGAGTCGGCCATGTTGAACCGCCATGTTTCTCCTACTTTCTGAGCTGCAATCTGTAACCACAGCCACTAAATCCTACACACATTGGTCCTTTAAACAAGGAAAATTTGTTGTCATATGATTATTAGTCGACTTAAATGTTAGCCGATGAGTCTCAGTCGACACACTTTTGCTGGTTGTTCTGACGCATTCAGAATTGCTTTTTTCTGTTCTCATTTAACAGGCGGCTGTCAATATATATATATATATTTAAATAATTCAATTAATATCCTAACTGTGCTGCAACTAGTCGACTGTTGGGAGCCCTTAGTGATTATTGTCATCTTCCAAATGCAACAATCAGATTTCCATCCAAACGTGAAATTAAATTTGGTTAAAAAGAAAGAAAAGCAAACTAATGTTCGTTTCCATCCGCTATCGTTATGTCAATATTAGGAATTGAGCGCATTGAGATAAACAGCTGGTGGAGCTAATTTTCCAGTCGGGTGCTGTTAAAATATTGCTGAAAAAGAAGAGGGCACGAATGCAGCATTCAATCCTTGTAGAAAATGTGATGTGAAATGTGGTATTTATGTTTCTCCACACAGAACTAATTATAAAACACAAGGTTGTACAGCGAAAATTAAAGATCGCAATACCTTCATGCTGCACATACAGAAAAAAACTATTAAATTCATAGAATAATCAATAAATAAAGATAATAAACCAACATATACAGCTGTTTATGTACATAGATACACACATCTGGTTGATTGTAAACTGCAGATACAAGATAGCAATGATGATATTCATATAAACAGAAACAGTGTCCATCCACTTTGCTAGTTTTTATTAACAGACTTCGCATCGTTTCACTTTTTTGTAATTTTTCCAGTTAAGAAAATGTAAAATATGCCTTCTTTGATAGCAGACTGCACACACTGATGCTTGTTTAAATTATAGACTCAGTGCTGTGAAATGATTTCACTGATGATTTTCAGTCTTACTGTCAAGAAAATCCATGAAAAGACCAAAACCAACAGTGAACTGATCCCACTAACAGGAGCCAAAGAAATGAAACTGTTATCTTATTGTGACAGGATCCTTCACGGACACTCACACACTGTAGTGTATTCTACGTTGATCCCAGTAAATTATCACTTAGAGCTCATAATGTTCATTAATCTGCTGCTGAAAATAGACCCCAACAAATTGTTTATTCTGTTTGAGTAACATTTCCTCGAAACCACAGCTAAGCAGCTGTTGAAGGAAACTATTTAAAGGAGTCTTTTGAAGTAAAAAAAATATCAAAGCGTATTTTTGTGACCTGTTTTTTGAAGATTTCCATCTTCAGTAGGAACAAATGGAATTTGGACCTGAGTGCCACAGACAGGATAGGGAAGTCTCACTAATGCATTGTTGGTTTAGGTCTTTTTCATTGGATTTGTTGAGAATAAGAAAACAAAATCCTTTAAAGCAAAACTGACTCATCTCATGCTAACACACGGTCTTGTATTACAGATAAACAGTTAAAATATGTTTCTGAAAGGATTTTAGGAGATAAATAGTCAACACAGTAACAGAATCTTCTGGGTCCATTTCTGATCAGCACTGGCTTAGATTGAGCAGTTTTGATCTGAGTTTGGTGTCGTTGAGCTGGACAGACTCCTGAAAATGAGCTGTCAATCACAAGGTAGCCCCGTCCTAAGTACCCTGCTTTATGGTCTATTTTACTCTAAATGGGACCATAATTTACTAAATGAACATCATGCTGTATGGAAGAAGACTTGAAACTAGAGATTGAGACCATAAACTCATTTGGAAACTGTTTACTGAGCTCATAAATCAAGTTCACCACTAGACTCAATACAATAAGACTTCTGTTTTGCAGCCAATGGAGCTGCCCCTTGCTGGCCGTTGCAGGTTTAAAACACTTCCACGTGGCCTTCGCTTCATAGACTCAGCAGTTCAGCCTACAATAATTTGTTTCTTCCTTTTTATGTTCTTCCTCTCAGACACATTGTGCAGAGATATGTACTAGAGTATATTTATAAAGTATCTGTATCACACTCAGGGGGTTCACACTCTTTTTCCCACTCACATGGTCTCAATGTTTGGTAGATTCACTGACACGTGGCTCGCTTAGCTGTTTTCATCGTGGTTTGTGGTGTCCTGAATTAGATGTACTTGCAAAGAACAAAACAGGTACTTCAGGTTTCAGCAGCCTCGTGTGAGTCAACCTTAAAAAGATCAATCTGGGTGGAAGGTTTGTAGAAGCTGCAGTAAACTCTGCCTCAAACTCTCTGATGAATTACATTTGTCTTCCTTTGGGTTCATGCCATGATTCAGTTTCGGTGTATTTCCACCCTACAAACTGTTACAAAAACAACGGAAAATAATAACTACTTGTAATTCAATGAAAAGTTCAATTTAATATTTGTTCCCCTTAGTTGCTAATCATGTCAATCTTTCTGATCCTGCACATATTTGATGGTAATGATGAAATTGACTGTAGCAACTTCTCATTAATAGACATGTTACAAATGTTACTGGCAGACCTTTTCAACTGCAGCTGATTAACAGCCCCGCCCTGAAGCATACCCTGCTTTATAGTCTGTTTTACTCTAAATGGGACCATAATTTACTAAATGAACATCATGTTGTATCGAAGAAGACTGAAACTAGAGACTGAGACCAGAAACTCATCAGGAAACTGTTTACTGAGCTCATAAATGAAGTGAGAAGTTGGCTCATTCTCTGTAAGACTGCATGGTATCTGTTTTTATTGCATTCAATGGAGCTGCCCCCTGCTGGCCTTTACATAGAATGCAGATTAAAGACACTTCCTGGGAACTCGTCCATTATATGACCTGTCAATGATCTATACTAACCTCTTTAGCAGCCGCCATACCAACCACCTAGCTCAAAGCTTGACGTGATGGATTCTCTTGTGATTTCATTACAATACTGTCTGAACTGTCTCCACAGGTAAGGCCATCATAGAGAACATTACAGACGCTATCTATGGCAGCAGGAAGACCATCTGTGTGATCAGCCAGCGCTACCTTCAGAGCGAGTGGTGCTCCAGAGAGATCCAGATGGCCAGGTGAGGGCGCTAACATCCAGCAGCACCTCCTGCTTTTATGTCACAGCCTCCCAAACTGATCAGGTCCTCAGAATCGTCCTCATGGTCTGTCCTGTGTTGTCTTTGTTGCAGCTTCCGTCTGTTTGACGAGCAGAAGGACGTGTTGATCCTGCTGTTTCTGGAGGAGATCCCGGCCCAGCAGCTGTCTCCGTACTACCGCATGAGGAAGCTGGTGAAGAAACGCACCTACCTGAGCTGGCCTCAGGCCGGCCAACACACAGGTGTCTTCTGGCAGAACGTCCGGAGAGCTCTGGAGACCAGGGACGCTGTTGATGACAACACAGACCTCCTGACTGGACCAGCAGCCTGCTAGCCATAATGTTAGCAAGCAAGCAAGCTAACATAAGCCATCTAGCTGCAACCCAGCCACACTGAATAACGTTATGGAGTTAAATGTTTAGATTCAGTGTGACTGAACAGGACTGACTGAGAATCATCCGTTTTTAAATTTTCGTTATTTGTCGTGTTTCAACTCAACTTTAAACACATTGCTTTGAAAGGTTTTGTTACACCTGCTTCTGCTTTATACATAGTTTATACATATATGCGTATATATATATATGTATATGTATATATATATATATATATATGCATGTATATATGCATTTAATTCATTGCCCCGGTTGGGATTAAAACTAAAAAAGGAATACAGGTTAACAGTCATATTAATCTACTACTGCACATATGTAAAAAGGCAAATGACCTTTTAATATGGTCCAACATATTTCAATAAGTTGCTATTTTTCATTTTTATTACTCTTTTAAGAGTTATTAAGTAAAGTTATCCTCAGGCCTATTATTTTTATATTAAGGTTGGTAAAAGGTTTACGGTAGCTCATCAAGTCTGGCCGCATTACAAAGCGTGCTTGCGTAACGTAAAGAATTATCGCTATTTTTTTACCTAGCACCCAGCTGAAAAGGGTAAAAGGTTTGTTACGATTTTGTTTTATATGGTTTTTAATGTTTAATGTTGTGTGCCGAGAACGGCCATGGATTTTTTTTTTTTATGCACTGTTATCTCATGATAACGACTTATTATCTCGTTA